GGGGGGGTTGGAACTGCTGTAGATACATCAGAGAAATTCCCTGCCCTACCCCTTTGCCTTCTGCCTCATGCATCCTTTCATTTTTCTACCAGTGAACAGATCACTGTCACTCCTCCCTTCCAGTATCATTCAGTGCATGGGCAATGCAACTGACCATGGACCAGAGTTTCCCTTCAGGGGCTTTCTTCTGCTGCCTTGATTTCCCAGAGAAAAGGGCAGGGCTGGGAAGTCATCTTACCTTTGGTGACAGCTGCTATGAAGCAGGATTCATCTGGCATGTTTCTGATCATCTGTGCAGCCCCACAGGGAAGGAAGGAGTCAAGGTTAGAATTTGGGAGGGAGGGAGTCAGTTGCTCCATCTTCAGAGCTGCTCACATCAGGGAGAGGCATGAGTGTTTGGTAGATGGTGGGGAAAGCATTGCTTTTGGGTCATCTGTATGACAGCTGGAAGCACTGTGGAGGCCAGCAAGATGATCCTATCATACTGCCTGGCTCTTCCACATACTGCATTTCATTTTTGAGCAGGTCTCAAAGTTTTTTTGCAGAATGGAAGGGGATGTGAGGGGCATCTAGTCCAATTCCTGCACCAGTGCAAGGGCTGCTATTCCTTAACCATACAAACCCCATACAGAGGCCAGTCCAGCCTCTTTTTGTGAAGGAGATTCTCCTCTGCAAAGCATTATTACCCTTGCTTTTCAGATGGGAGAAACTGAGGCAGGGAGAGGAGCAGCAGTTTGCTCATGAGCTTCCCACAGGCTGGTGGCAGAGGTGTGGGGATAAAACCCAGGTGTCCAGAGTCCTAGTTCAGTGTTTTGGCTTCTAGGTTGCAAAAGGCAGGGCACTCAATGCAATGTGATGGGGACAGTAAAGGAGATTGTTTTATTATTATTACATTTTCCGTATTCCCAGCCAAATTAGCCAAAACAAATTCCAAATCCCAGAGTCAGTCCAGAACCATAGGCCCTACTACCAGCAAACACCCTCCACCCCCATCTGGAGCTTCAGATGTTTCCAAAACCTTTGGTGAGCGTCCTACTTACAGGCCCAAGCCCAGAGGCTTGGGGTTCAGATGCCCCCAAGTTTTGCTTGCCCTTAGCCGTAAGGCCGCAGGGGCTAGCCAGGGAAGACTCTCCCATTTCTGTAAAGTGGGTTTAAAGCCAAGACCTTACCACTCCAGCTGCTAAACAGGAGGTTTACTATACATTACCTTGGCAGGTACTATATCCCCGTGCACAGAACCAGCAGGGCACAGAGATGGCTGCCCCAAGAGACCTTGCCCCTCTTCCTTTGCCTGGCCAAGCAGCCTGCCTGCCAGCCTTAGCCCTTCATCCCATGGTAAGGGAGTGATCTTGTACTGAATGATGCACCCTGAACCGTTTTGCCCAAGCAGGGATGGGACTGGAGGGAAGGCAGAGCCCCAGAGCCAAGGCCCCTTACCAGGTCATTGATGAGGATGAGAATGCCTGTGGGCCCCTGCTTGGAGACCTGCCGGATCTGATTGGCTGGGAGGCTGAGCAGCTCCGCTAGTTTATTGGTCAGTTCCATCGCTGTGAGCTCCTCCAGATACACCTCCTGGTAAACAGCTATTCCCAAAGAAACACCCCTCAAAAGCTAGTAAGATCTTGCTGGCATTTTCCTCCTAGGAGCTTTCCATGGGCAGCTAAGCCCACTGGGAAGGCTCTGTCCAGATGCTTCTGAATTCAAATATAGGCTCTGGGGCTGCCCTCACTCATACATGCAAGTATCTCCTGCTGCCCAGAGACAAGGCAGCCTCTAACCAATCCTACTGGAACAGCCTACAGCTTGATTGCAAGTTAAGCACTAGGTCCTCTGCTTGGGGGAGATAGGCTGGCAGCAGGCTGCTGCCCATCTCCCTAGTACCTGAGGCCCTTCTATGGAAAATTGACAGCAAAGTCCTCTGTGGGCTCTGTGCAGCTTGTGGTGTGCTCTGCTTCTGAGGATGTTCAGAAGGAAAGGACCAAGGAAAGAAAGAGCAGCAAATTCATCTTAGAGGAGGGTCCCTTTGTGTCCATGGATCTCTCCAAAGCTCCAGCTGCACCATTGGGGTAGGCAGGTTTTCCTAGAGTTGGGGCCAAATCTGGAGGTGCTCCCTCCCCCCCCCCCAAACTAGTGAGGTTTTCTGCAGGGTCCATGCCTTGAAGTGAAGCCTCCAGTGGCCCCTGAGCAAATGATACACCAGGGTACCCATCCCTCCTGTCCCCTTATCCATGTCTCTTGGCTGTTCCATCACCCTCTCCTATGGGCTGCTGCTATGCATGTACTTTATCCCCAGATAGCGCTGCCACTCCAAGCTAATGGAAAGACTTCCTGGCTTCACTAGAACTTGGACTGGGTGCTGAGCCAGAGGCCCAGAGTGGGGGAGTTACACACAGACACTGAAGGGTATGTTAGAAACAGAGCTATGATCCATGCTTAGGTCTGTCCAGGAGTGGATCCAGAGGGGATGCAGCAACATGGCTGCACCCCACTTTCTGACCATGCAGCAGGAGCAACAGCTGAGGACTTTAAATCCCCAAAGCAGGTAAGAATTCTCCCCCTCTCTTCTCCTTCTGTGCTCAGAGCCATATTCCCTCCCATTCTCGCCCTTCCACTCCTGTCACTTTCTTTGCTGAGCCAGGACCCCTGTGCAGCCCTGGTGGAGTAGCTCTGTAGCTCCCCTCCCTTGGACAGTGGCAGCGGCATGCAGGGGAAGGGATGTGCCTCTGAGCAGGGAGGGGAAGTGCGCGTGGGAGAGTTATTCTTACCTGCTTCGGGACTTAAGTAAAAAGTCCCCAGCTGCTGCTCACGTGGTGCAGCGTGTTCACTCCAGCTAGGGGGGATGGGGGAGACCCATCCCTGCAGCACCAGTCACTGCTCCCGCACCCACCTTTGCAAAATCCTGGATCTGCTTCTAGGTTTGTCCCCCACCCAAGCTTAGCCAAACCCAGCCCCTCATCCCTAGAAGACCTAATCCAGGTTCTCTGGCTGCCACTCACCTGCCCAGTCTCTTGTCTTACCTGAATGCGACTCCTCAGGGCTCTCCCCTCCACTGGCCTGGGGCTCTCTGGAGATGTACAGGGTTAACCGAGGGTGCACACACCTACAGAGGGGACAAAAGCACCTTAACTCAAGCTTGTCTGGTTATAACTTATGAGCAGGGATCCTGGTTTTCTCTGATTTAAAAAAAATCCCCAATTTTTGGTTAAAAAAGTAACCCCAAATCTACATTTTTCCATGGTGAAAATGAAACATCACTATGTATATATCTATATATTAGTCGTGTTTAATTTAAATCATGGAAAAATGTGGATTCGGGGTTACTTTTTTTAACCAAAAATTGGGGATTATTTTAAATCGGAGAAAACCAGGATCCCTGCTTATGAGCCTAATTGTACTGAATCAGTGTGGCTGCAAGTGGAAGGCACCCCCTGCTGGCTGGACTCCCATTCATCCACCAACAGCACCTGTCATCATCTCCCTTCTCTTCTCTTGTAGGGCAGGATCCGCCTTGGGCTGTCACTAACAGGAGCATCTTGACTGAATCAGGATCCCTGTGTGCTGGGCAGTGCACAGACTCAGCCAGGCAGACCCTGCCCCAGAAGGCTCACGGGCAAGTTGTTATCCCCATCTTGCAGCTGGGTGAATGGAAACACAGAGCTACAGGTCTTAGAGGGCAGAGTTGCAGTGGTTTGAAATGCACAGCCACCCTCCTTCATCTCATTGGGATGCAGATATGGTTCCTAACCTCCAAACATACACGCCTGAAGCTGGTAGTGATCCACTTAAGCTGGAATTGATCTGCTCAGCATGATCCAGGCAGGGCAGGTTGATGGGGGAGTAAAGAATTTGTCATCAGTGAGGCAGCTTTTTCCCCGTGAGAGGAGGACTCCTGCCTAGCTAGAATTAGCAGGCAGCAGGTTGTGATATTAGGGAGGGGGTGTGGGAGGTGGAAAGGGTATCGTCTGTCAGACGGAGTGAGGGGAGGCGATGGTATGTGCCAGACCTGAAAAAGGGGCTACAGTGCAGGCTGAACAGCAAGAGACAGAGCCCTGAGAGCGCAGTCTGGGAGGAGGGGGGAACGTC